GTCTCCGTCTCTGTCCAGCGTGGGTGAAATCATTATAATGCTGAAGGTGAGGTACACACCTTCATATTTCTTCATTAGACAACTTATAAAGTAATTTGAAAACCTTGTGTGAGACGTAATTTCACAAACAGCGAGAGTGAATCACTGCGCGCGTGCACGCTCTCAAAATACGCAAATGTCTTCAAATCACCACATCGCATCCGTCTATAAGCAAGATGCACGCTGCACAGTTGACACAGGAATTGTCACTTGCACAATCGCGGTAGTGTCACATCGTCACTAAAGTTTATAAATTGCAGTACTTTTTAATTCTTGCCAGTGTTTAACCATTCAGCACTCGCGCACTCTCCTGGAGCCCGCGCAATCATGCACACTCGCAGCGCACACACATAATGCCAGGTTCACATTACTCCGTTTGCAGTGCGTATGTGGTGCGTATTTTTTCTTCGCTCATGTTAACGAATTAATAAAGCATGCACACTGCGCACGGTTGCTGTCCAGCAGTGCGTTCCACGAGCGGTGCGTCTGCAGCAAGGCAGAGATCGTTTCCGCACTGAGCCTATTTTTACTACGCTGCAAGCGCTAAATTAAAGTAACAGCACATTTTTTGCAGTAAATATCAACATGGATTGACACGAAAATTTAGCAATTACACCATAAATGCATATTATTAAAGACTACTGTGTTTCACAGTCAACATAAAGGGCTTTTTGGCTAGGTTTAAAGGGAAAGAGCACTTTTAGATAAACAAGGCAATAATAGATGGCACTGGTGGAGGCAGGAAAATAAAGTTCTTTATGAACCGCAGGATTGCATTTAATAAAGATTTCAATGCAAAAGGAATGGCAGTAGAGCTGACTAATTATCAGCCGATAATCACGTTGGGATGATTGATCGGCGGTCTCTAAAAAGGCCGATCTCAAGCTGAGGACGTTGCCATGAGAGATTTGGCATGACATGCAGCGGCACCATCTCAGTCTCTGTCCGGCGCGGGTGAAATCATTATAATGCTGAAGGTGAGGTACATTGTGTGAGACAGCGAGAGTGAATGACCACACATGCGCTCTCTCAAAATACGCAAATGTCTTCAAATCACCACATCGCATCCGTCTATAAGCAAGATGCACGCTGCACAGTTGACACAGGAATTGTCACTTGCACAAACGAGGCAGTGTCACATCATCACTAAAGTTTATAAATTGCATTATCTTTAAATTCTTGCCAGTGTTTAACCATTCAGCACTCGCGCACTCTCCTGGAGACCGTGCAATCATGCACACTCGCAGCGCACACACATAATGCCAGGTTCACATTACTCCGTTTGCAGTGCGTATGTGGTGCGTATTTTTTCTTCGCTCATGTTAACGAATTAATAAAGCATGCACACTGCGCACGGTTGCTGTCCAGCAGTGCGTTCCACGAGCGGTGCGTCTGCAGCAAGGCAGAGATCGTTTCCGCACTGAGCCTATTTTTACTACGCTGCAAGCGCTAAATTAAAGTAACAGCACATTTTTTGCAGTAAATATCAACATGGATTGACACGAAAATTTAGCAATTACACCATAAATGCATATTATTAAAGACTACTGTGTTTCACAGTCAACATAAAGGGCTTTTTGGCTAGGTTTAAAGGGAAAGAGCACTTTTAGATAAACAAGGCAATAATAGATGGCACTGGTGGAGGCAGGAAAATAAAGTTCTTTATGAACCGCAGGATTGCATTTAATAAAGATTTCAATGCAAAAGGAAAGGCAGTAGAGCTGACTATTTCTGTCTTTCTGTCAATGGTAAGTTTGTGATAACGTAAGAAAAGTAGTTTAAATGTTTTGCCACTTGCTTGAGCAACTTAATATATAAATCTAAAGTAAATGCAAAAGTAAAAAGCATTGAATAATGTGTTGCTTATATTTATTGTTTAAACATGTCTTTGAAAGATTGTATTACTGTACTGTGTAAAAAAAAGAACTGCAATGCTGAAAATTTTCAGTGGCAATGTTTGGATTTGAAATCAAAATAATGGATAAATGTTGTGTTTGTTGTAAACAGCCACGGATCAGTAGCGGACTCTTCTGTGAAAGCACAATCCGTGCTGCTTCCCCTCTCACAAGAGTCACCTAAGAGGGGAAATTCCCTCCATTTTCAAAAATGAAATTCAGGCCCTGAATAAATGTCTAAAAATCCTGATTGGAGTATCACTATAAATAGTTATAAGTGATAAAAAAGAAGGCTTTAAAAAGATCAGTATCGGTGATCGGTATCGGCAGATACTGCTTATTGTGATCGGCCTCAAAAATCCTGATCGGAGCACCCCTACAAATAAACTCTGGCAAGCTGCTGAACACTTCAAATTGCTTTTTTTCCAACACTCATAACACTGATTCGTGTAACTGTGAGGAGCGGATCTCTGCAAAAGCAGGAAGGAGTGAAGCCACAAGTGCCACAAAATAAGTTGAAGAGAGGAAGGGACGAAGAAAGAAAACGTTATGGCATAGTTCATCCAAAATGAGGGTGAGTAAATGATGACCAAAACTTTATGTTGTTCCAAACCTGTATGACTTTCTTTTTTTCTGTGAAACACAAAAGTAGAAGTCAATGGGGTCATTGGATCCAATTGACATTCATAGTATATTTTTCAAAATAGCTTATTTTGTGTTCTACGAAGTAAAGAAAATAATTGATGACAAAATGTAAATTTTTGGTTAAACTGTCCCTTTAAGTGTTGACTGTTCACAAAAGAGAGTTTTAGAAGTTTGACATTTTAAAAGTTAGTGGCATCCCAAACACATGGCCCCCATGGCTCAAGACTCATAACAACATTCAAAAGCATCCGCTTAGCTTGTGTTTACGTAGGAAAACAATTAAAATACTGTTCCAACGGATGCAAGAGTGTGTCGTGCAAATGCCCGCTTAAAGGAAGAGGAAGAGAGAAAAGGGAGGAAGAAATGAAAGACACACAATCCGCCATCAGGCATCTGACGAATGAGATGGTCAAAACACACATTTTCATGGCCCTCCTTAGGTTACCCCACTCAATTTTTAATGCAAGACATTTTAGACTTTATCCCGTATGCATGAGTGTCTGTTTGTGTGCGTATCCGTATATAAATAGTGCAGATTTTATAACGGAACACGGTATAAGGTGGTGTAAAAACAGGAGCTTTTGAAGGCATCAGGGTCACAGTTCCTTGGCCGAGCCCCTGAGGGGAGGAAGAGAAAGAAAAGATAAAGAAAAAGACAGCGAGAGCTGCAACATGAGCTGTATACTCTTGGAAAGATCAGTCCTCCATATTAAAAAGACCCCTGTCACTCACAGCCCTTCAGCCCCAGATACCGTGCAATGCATTTCTGTTTCTCAGGCAGAAGGGGAAAACACACCAGTATTTTTCAGTCTGGTTGGTGCTCGGGGGGGAAATATGAACAGGCAATTTAATATCGGGAGGATCGCTAAGAGGAAGTGCTGATGCGGCAGTCTCAAGCTCATTTTATTTAGATTAACTACAGCGGTAATATCACAGCCACTCATGCCAGGAGCGACGCACAACTCATAAAGTGACAATGGAAGGGGGCAGGAATCTAACTGGGTGACAGGGTTTGTTTGTTGCCGGTTCGGAGAGAAACACAACATTGTTTTTGAGGAATGTAAGATGGCTTTGTGAACAGCGATTAATTCTCTGGAAAAGCATTCAAGACTTTCTGAGAGTTCAGCGTTGCATGCAAATTTCACTTTTATTTATTTCTTTATTTTTTGCTTTGAGTGAGTAAAAATTCCTGAATGCTTAATAGGTTAAAAAAGGGTGGAATTGTAAAAAAGACATAAAACGCATCCTTTTATTATGCTTAATGTGTGCCAAATAACCCATATTACATAGAAGCCCCATCAACTTTCTCCTTTGCTCCCTTTCTGCCTTTTGAAATGGCTTTCAGCTTTGCAACAACCTCTCAGCGTGAAGCAGCCTTGCCCATTTTAGCTTTTGATAACATAATAGTGTTCTGAAGCACCCTTTACATGATAACTTAATGATGCAGACGTGTATGTGCACCACATAAAAGCTATCCAAACCTTCCGGAGATATCTGTTAAATCATTACTGGTCTGCATACTTGATAATCTATAGATGTGGAGGTGACCCAGATTGGCAGAAAAAAAAGGGTGGACGGCCACTTCAACCACACAAAACCAAGAGGTCCTCTCCCTCAGATCCTAATTATGTGTCATGTGACAGCCAAAAAAACAACGCTTAGAGCACCATTAGTGACAGTGATGGCACTGGGAGTGTTTTAGTTATAATTGCAGAGTATATCAGAGGCGACTGTAATTGTGTTTCCGGTTCGCACACTTCCTAAATAACCCTGGGCTTCCATTGTTTGTTTTCTGTCGAGGTCATTTGAAAGGACCGGAGAGGGACCGGGCGACGGGCTGAACCTCCTCCGGACACAGTGTCGTTTGCGAGTGATTGGTTTGGCTCAGTGCATAATGGAAAGAGAATAGGAGAGGAGAAGAAAGAGAGTGGGCTGTTTCTGAGAGGCTGGAGTGCTAGTTATCATTTAATTCCAGTGTCAATGTGCATAAGGCTATAAATTAAGAGCCCACAAATCAAATGACTAACAGGGATTCCAATTATTGTGCCAAGGATTTTTTGCCCCCACATTTAATCCATCATTATTATCTCCGCCCAATAAGCATGTTTTTTTTTTACACTGCTTTTCTTTTATTAATCATTCGTCGTCTGCTTTGTATTTTTCAGCATGGTTTGTTTTGTTATTGCATTGCTTTGCTGTAATTCGGATGAATTACCTAGCGTTGGGATAATTCAATGCTTGGGCACTCAGTCAAACAATTGGAACAAGGATTTTCTAGGTAAATGGACACATAAGCGAGTCTTACCCATAATAATAACTTATTAATTGCTTCATTGTCCTTTCTTCTGTCTCGCGTAAGGTTAATCAGCAGCACTCTAATACATGCCAACAGATGTGTGCAAATGAAAATAAAGTACTCACGTTCACACGCATCACCCTTCTGGTGAAATCCAGCTTTGCATATACATTTCCCAATGGGTACCAGCCACTCTCCTTCAGCGCTGCAGTGCATTTTGGGAGAGTTGTCAGCCTCCTCCTCTGCGTCACTGACGCATGTGCCTTCCACTTCCACCAGCGACGAGAACTCAGATCCCGTCACCGTATCTGGGAACGTGGCCAGGTTCTCAATAATCGACCAACACTTCTTGTAATACACTTTGACGGAGACCAAAGCGATGCAGGCACCTACATCCTGAAAGGCCAGGTAGAAGCCTCGGCGGGAGAGGGGCCCGATTATACGCACCTCCGTGTTGAGCTTCATTTTTCTTTCCCCCAGGTCACCCTGAGTGAAACTCTCGTCCGCAGCTATAGTGTCAATTTTCACATACTGACTCTCTCTTATATTCCTGCCCACCTCCACGTCGGCTTCCTGGTAGTACAAGTTGAACGTCTCCTTGCAAGAGCCAACCACCCCTGGAAGGCTGTTACAATCCCTCAAGGTAAACTTCAGCTCCACAAAAATCCTCTGGGCATCGCCCTTCTCAATCCAGTTAGTCCGTAGCCAATTGTTCTGATTTGGCTCCATGACCTGGCAGACCTGGTATGTGCGAATGGGTGTGTAGTTTTCATCCAAGCCGCTGATCTCTTCCCACTGAGAAAAAGTAAAACGCAGTTAATCATCATTATATCGTGTGCTGTACTAAAACGCTCCGAACTAACCGCAAGGGAGAATCTTAGAGCGTGTTAAAACTGGCCTCTGTGTGAACAAATGCACAACTCCTTGCTATAAGATGATCTACATTAATTCATCTGCAGCCAGGTGATTCATTTTTTACATCTTTTGCATAAGCTGAGAATTTTAAATGTCCGTCTTGTTGAGCGTATTAGCCTAAAATATTTATTTTTATTGATCTGCAATTATATGCGCAGTTCTGATAATTGTTGGTATCTGTAAACCCATACAAACACTTATAAGCACATTAAAAAAGAACCAAATGTATTGCAAAAATTACCTCATGCCCAATAGTAACAATGTACACTACCAGTCAGAATGTTTCCATTTATAAACTCCATTATAAAAACGTTCATCTGAAAAAAAGTGTGCTAATGTGTGATGACATCAGAATTAACTGCTTTTAATTCAGTAAAAAACATTATTTTATTTGACTTAACCTGACTGCTTTAGGTTACACCGGCAAAAGTAATTGCCTGGGCTTCTTTTAAACAACTTTTACCTGGGCTTAAATTCCATTTATGCTGGACACATGTTAGTTGGGTTTCTGTTATTATTTCTTATTTAAAAAGTCATTAAAAAAGTTTTTAATTTATACAAACACACAATACTTTGACCTCAATGACTGCAAGTTTAAAACTCATAAAAGTGAGCAGAACTGACAGAAATTCTGACAAGTTAAATGAATAAAACCAAATATGCTGTTACAAAGATGAAAACATTTTAAAAGTAAAATAAGATTCAATGCGCCCAAATCACATGACTAGCAACCTAAAATCTCCATTCTAAACTTTTTAATTGCTGTTACTTTTTTTAGTTATGACTTTTCAGAATTATTTTGTGTTCTAATGAATTGTTAAAAACACCTAAGACGTACAAAAACAACAAAACATCATAATTAGGAATGCAACAAGTTAATATGTTGAGTTCAGCAGAAAAGCACTTTGTTGGCCTTAGTTGAACGACTTTAAAACAAACGCGTCTGTATTTTACGCCTTCTTTAAACCTTTTAACCTTGTTTTAAAATGAACAAAACCACCTCCGCATAAAGTAAAACCAAATTATCAATTGTTTAGCGTTTTAGAAACATTGTGATGTGGTGCAAAGACTTCCAATTGAAAAAAAGAACAACACATTATGCCTTCAAAATACTACGAGCAGTAAGCGCATTACAGAAGAGGTGAAAATCAGAAATGTTTGCTGTAAAGTAGAAGTTGTAAAGTTTCCAGCTTACCCCGCTTGGAGGAGACGATATCCATTCCAGCTCTGTCTGCTGCGCCTTTGAATCCAGCAGGGTCACTGCCGACGACAAATAAAGCGCACACTTACAATAATGCATCTATAATTGCGATTAATGTTTGCCACACATCTCGCTCATATTCCAGAAGCATTGTACATCGCGAGCGAGCGCAGATACAAACCAAATGTGAGAGAGCGCGCGAGTTTGACCCATTTTCAGCAGACAGCGGTGGAGATTTATGTCAATAAGCACCTCGCGCCTCTGAAAGCTGTGCGACACCTGTTCATGTGTCTATATAACCGACGGGCACGCTTTCGCCTTTGGTGTAGATCGAGAAATCGGTCAAGTTCCTTCGTTTGAACCGTGAGAATATTACGCGGATACGCGCGCGCAGCGCAGGCTAAGAACGACTGCATCGCGTGCGAATTGAATCACTGTTTTGTTATTTATATGCATTCCGTTGAAGCGTTACCTGTTTTTTGTCTGGTCATGTGACTAAAGGGAGCTGGTTAAATAATCAAATAAATAATTCGCTTAAATATTGTAAATAAAAAAGGGGCATTCGCTGAGATCAGAACCTTAGTTTAAAAAATAAGTAACATCAAGTTGGTAAATAAATTCGTCACTGAGTATGTTCAGTAATCAATAAACCTCTAAGTGAACTACTGCAAACAGCCATAAGATCAACTGGATCTATTTATACAGAACTGAATGATTACTTAATTTCACTCAAGGCTTAGGCTATATGTAGCTAATATAGTCGATGTTGATGTTGTGTGATATACATATTTGCAGTGCAGACATGTAGGCTATGGTAGAAACACACTGCTCTTTATACTAAATCTGTACTCGACGCTTAATTAAGCACTTCTATTGCTTAATTATTGCAGGGGGTTTCTATCCCGGACAAATCCTTTACTACTACTAACTGAAGCTGATCCCATGAGTGTTTTAAAATAATAAGCGTGGTACATGTTGCAGTCAAGTTGCAGAATTGACTGTAGACCTACTGCCCGGTTGGTTAACAAAGGCACATCAAGCAGATCTTTTTTTCCAAGTTTGGTGTTGATGTTGTCTCTTTGCAGTAAATGGAAAGCACGTAGTGTTTTCCGATCAAATGAGAAGGTGATAATGGGGAGTTGCAGGGCTGTGAGGACTAAGCTTAACCAGATAATATTGTCTATGATGTTTAGTTGCGAGGCGCAGTTGCGAATCGTCTTCGTGTCTGATTAGCGAAAGTCTGTGCGCCAAGAAAATACGTACTCATGATATGAAACACAGTCAGGCGTATATCGTTGTCGTATGTGTGATAATAAAAAAGGCTGTCTGTTTGTCTGTCAGACTGTCGATACTGTATCTGCTCGAACTACTGATTTGCTCGTTCTCGCGCTCGCGCTGTCAGGATGCAATGAAGGAAACTTTAGCACTCACCCTCTCTTGTGTTCTGTGCTATTCCAGTGTTCACATAAAAACATAAATGAAGGCAAAATATAGTCCACAAACACGAAACTGAGGTGCAAACCATGGTGCAGCTGAAAGTTGGATAAACAGTGTGCGCTTTTTCCAACGCGGCGTTCCCTTCCCATTGACGACGCTCCGGCAACCAGCTCTGGGTGAATAGAACAGCCGTCTCTCACTGAAATAGCATCGGCAGCCGAGAGGCGGGGCTTAGAGCATTCGGCGTGTCACTCATGTTGACTGACAGAGAGCACACCCACATTTGGCGCGCGGAAGGCTCTCGGTGGAAAAACGCGGACGAATCATCTTGAAGCGAAGGCGGATCCTCAATTTCAGTCTAAAACCGACAATGGATTCACAGACTTTAAGATGAAATACTTTGTTGGGCACAGTGTTGGGGAAAGTTACTTTTAAAAGTAATGCATTACAATATTGCGTTACTCCATAAAAAAGTAACGAATTACGTTCCTTGGTTACTTTTTGTGGAATGTAATGTGTTACGTTACTTTTGCGTTACTTTTTAAATCTGGACAGGGCTTGCTTGTTTTTAAAATAAAAAAGTAATATATTTGGCAAATATAAAAGCCTTTTCACACCAGAAGTGAAATGGATAAGCCTCAGGCTGAAGGGAAAGTAAATTTACGTCCGTACAGTAGAATGCAGAAGAAGACATTTCAACACACTTCAGCAATAAAAAAAGACACACGAATGTTAGTCTAGAGTAATTTTTGCTTATTAGCACGGTTGAACTGGATCATCGAAGGTCAGAAGCAAAGACATTGGTTAATAGAATGGGATTAAATACATAAAGGATATCTGTGTTGTTTAACATTTAATTGTCATCATATTCTGAGTTGCATTATTTTTATTCATTTTGAGGAATACTGAATCAGTTTTTTTTGTTTTGTTTTTTGTGAGTGAGATAAGTTAATGCATATTAATATATTTATTTTAGAACTGCAGTAACATCTGATTTCTCTCAACATGGGGAAATTGTCATCATATTCTGAGTTGCATTATTTTTATTCATTTTGAGGAATACTGAATCTGTTTTTGTTTTGTTTTGTTTTTTGTGAGTGAGATGAGTTAATGCATATTCATATATTTATTTTAGAAGTGCAGTAACATCTGATTTCTCTCAACATGGGGACAGGAGAGTTGTCTGATTACGTAACTCACGTTACTTGTAATGCATTACCCCAACACTGGTTGGGCAATGTAGAAAATCGTTTTATATTAAGAAAAATACATAATATTCTAATGTCCGGATCGAAATACTGTACTGGAAGTTAATACTTAAAATGCTATGGGTAAATGAAAAGTGAAATCAGTGAGTAGGCCTACATCAAAACAAACTTTTGAGAACTGGTGAGATACCTTTCTCTGCAACACCACTTGCACGGAAGCCTACTCTATCAAGATAAGACTTGAACCTTGGGTAGGGAAGGCAAGCATGTCATGGCATCCGAGGAAAAGTTTATAGTTTTCCCAAGTCATTGAAGAGCATTGCATCATCAGCAGATAAATCCTTAGCAAACCTCATCATGGTGCCTGTCGTGTCTGGCACCTCTTTTTGAAACACATACTACTCATAGCTTGCAATGTCAAGACTATGTTTAGTCACTAACCTAATGGCACCTTACATCAATAAAACTTTCTCTTTTTTTTTTTTTTTGTCAAGCAACATTTTTCTTATTTATTTTAAATTTTCCAGAGAATTCACATCTCACATAAAAATGTAGGCTATTTGTGTACCTGAAAACATTATATTTGCTTTTATGTTTGCTTGTATCTCTAGACACTCACTATTAAGGATTTTAAATAATTAGTTGACAAAACTAGGGTTTGTGTACAAATGTACTACAAAAAGGGACAAACATTAAGTTAAAACGATAAACACATTTACAAATTTAGCACAATGCATGAGTTGTTTATATATGTGTATAATTACACAGATATATAATTAGTATCAGTGTATAATTAGTATAATTATAGAAATTAAAAATAAATAAATCTAAGAGTAAAAATAAAGTTGACAATAAACACAGAAAGTAAGTAATAAGTACAATTAATCAGTATTTAGTTAGTATTAGTATTTAGTCGGTATTTATTGATGTCAGCTAGTATTTGTTTTATCAAGTCATTTATTCCTTTATTGTTTATTTATTCATTCAGGCCTCATATTCCAAGACATTTATGACTGACAGACAACAAGGATTTTTCACAAGTGTTATTTCTTTGACAAATATACCCAGTGTTTTCTGAAAATAAAAGTGAAACTCTTGTTGATTGGCCAGTGAAGGGCAGGAGGTCTGTTATAAAGACATCGAGACAGACAAACACAGATAAACATTGACTGCTGCGTTTTATAGAAGGTCACCTAATGCAGGAAAGTGCCCTGCTGATTCTGGGCAATGGGTGTGGATGCATTGATTCATTAGAATTATGCGTTAGAAACGTTCACCATGAAGATTGAGCTGCTGCGGTTTTAAGCGGCGCCAAGGAATCGAGATAAACACAAAACACAATTAAAAAGTGTAAAGTTAATTTCCTGCTGCTCAGATGACTTGCCAAATCACTGATAAATGAAAGCATGAAAGGGACCTCATTACCCCCTGAACGTATAATGCATTTGTTACAGGTCACTTATGAATCTCCATTTCCTAGAATGAGTAAAACAACTGTAATTATGCCCCCCAAATATTGATTAATAAACTCTGTGCATCACAAATGGATGGAGGTAGACAAGGACTCATTTCAAGGTTTATTTACCTCTGTTTTCTTCTTCTTATTATTTATTTTTTTTGGCCTGTTTATTATGCAAATTATTTCTAATCCTCTTTACCCTTGATGCACGCTCCTGTGTTGCACAATTCCATGTTGCTTATTATTGGCTTATTAAACCTGCTTCAATTAGTAATGTTTTGGATGGACATACTTAAGTAGCCTATATCTTAAACTAGTTCAAATCAACCCACATGGGTGTGAAAACGACAAGATATTCAGCATTCGTTTTGCTCTTATGAATATCATCGTCTGAGCTGGATTAAACCGAGCCATGTACGCATGTATTAATTCATGTATGAATATTTATCATCAACAAAATGTTCATTAACATTCTCATTCAGCTGAGTCTCGAGTGATAGCGCCAGGCTTTCCAGGTTGTTCACATACTAATTGCACTTTTCTTCATTTTTGTTTAACACAAGACGAAGGGGGAAAAAAATCCAAATTCTTCACATTGCATTTTAGCTGCCACATTAGTGAGTCCTCATCAGCTTCATGTTGCCATGGCATCAGTTAATTGAATTCTTTTGTTTGAATTGGGATCACACTGTAGTAGTCATGTGGAGATGACGGTTTGCGTAAGTGACGTTATACCTGACTCCACATAGAGCTCCAAGCTGAGCCCTCGCAAAGAGCTAATCATTTTAGAGGATACTTCATTCTGAGTAGGTCTTTAGTGCGTCTTCCCTGAGAAGAATTACCATCCTTCAGTGATAACACTAACCATTATTGTCATTTTACCAAAATTAATTTGAAATGAAATGGCAGAGGTTGAGTGAAGTGTACTAGACTACTAAAGCAATATTTTAGAAATTACCTTCATTGTTCAACTGGTGGTCATGCACCACTATGAGGTCATAAAAATGTTTATTTGGGACTTAAAAGCAATAGTTTTATTCCAAAAACTGTGGCAAACAAGATGGCCCTCAAGGGATACCACTTCAAGTGAGCGAATTGACCACATTTATAAATGTCTGCCTACACTCAAGTGCTTGTAACCAACAAAGAAGAAACTAGGACATGACTCGTTCTAGGTGTTCTTTCACTTCAAGTGAGCGAATTGACCACATTTATAAATGTCTGCCTACACTCAAGTGCTTGTAACCAACAAAGAAGGCGTGAAGAAACTAGGACATGACTCGTTCTAGGTGTTCTTATTATGTCTGATCTTTTTGGCATTTATTTGCGGCGTTTTTCACAGCACAAAGAGTTTAGACTAGATCTCTTCATCAGCAGGCAATAACATGCCGTTCTATTCTGTTGTTTTCCTTCAGGACTGCATGCTTTTTAAATAGTTTCTCAGTCAATCTACAGCAGCTGAACAACTGAGCCGAAATAAATGGAGGGCTAGGCCAAAAGTGCTATTAAATACTATAATATATATTTTCCACTTGTTTATAATGAGAGTGGAACACCTTCAGAGCGGCAGGCTGTCGGCCTGATCCCTTCGCTCAGGCTGGGTGGAGCACAGCCGGGCTGTTTGGATTCTTTGAGGGCTTGAAGGGAAAACCACCCAGAGATTTAATATCCAGAGGGACTGAAAGCTTGCTGGACGGATGGGCTTGCTGAGCACTCGCAAGAAATTTTTTGTCCTTTTTATAGGTTAGTAATATAGTGTCCCAACAGATCCAGACAAAATCGGGGGTGTTTAATATTACTCAGGGATTGTTGTGGGCTGACTAACATTCACCTTCCATTGTCTGCTGGTGTAATCACAGATCTAGACCTGTACTGGTTATGTGTTGTAAGACATGTTCTAGGAAACTTTTTTTGGCTTCTTAACAGACCTGGCTGTGTAAATTGATGTGATATATAAAGGCAGGGTAGTTTTGGAGTTTGTTAGATTTACATTAAATACATTACATTGATAAAGTGTAACGGTAAAGAATATTACATTATTGTTACAAAAAAAAACCCTGAAAAATAAATGCCAAATAAATGCTGTTTCTTGCATTTTCCACAAAATTATGAAGCAGCAAAACATTAATAACAATAAGAAAAACTACTTGAGCACCAAATCAGCATGTTAGAATGACTTCTGAAGGATCATGTGACACTGAAGCACTGAAGGCTGTTGAAAATTCAGCTTTGCCATCACAGGAATAAATTAAAAGTTATATCTCGGCCAAATATTGTCCTATCATAACAAACCATACATAAAAGCTTATTTATTCAGCTGTATTATTATTAGTATTATTACATTTTTAAAACATTACTGTTTTTATTGTATTTATTGGGAGAACTTGCACAATTGGTGGCTGACTAAATACTTTTTTGCCCCACTGTATATATATATTTATATAAGTTCTGAGATTTTTTGACTCACTACCACAAATGGCCTACCAGCTTTTTCAATTATAGA